TAGAGAATTAAAGCACAAATATGCAATTTATACACCAATAATGCAATGACTAATCTCTAAATCCTATATAAATATGGTGTAAAATCACACATGAACAAACCCCCAAACTTAAACCATTGATAGTCCCGATCAATGCATCAAACTCCTACCAACACACAAGTAAAAACAATCACTCTCCAAGTCCATTAAACACATTTTCAATAAGCATCGGGCAAGTAACATAGCCAAGTTCCGAAATTTTTAAACAAAAAGAATGTTTCATCAAAATCATGGTTAATAATTCAATCCACAAATACCTCACCGAATAAGTGTATACTCTCACTCTCCAAAGTGTAAAGGGAAATAATCGCTCAAATCAATTCAATGTTGAAGAATTACCATAAGCTTGCAAATCGTCTACTATCTCCACCACTTATTGTGCATGCAATTCATGAATCAAAAAGGACTTTTTATTTGGTTGTAATGTAGGCTCTTTGGTTAGGGTAGGAAATATATGAATAAAGTGACAAAAACTTGAGCATCTAGAACTACAAAACATGAACTACACCATTTCATCACCTACCAATCATAATCAACCCAACTCATCCATACCTCATTTCACTCAAATATCCACAAGCCATATAAGAATATAAAATCAAACCAAACCAAAAACTTAACTATATACACAACTTCACCATCTTAAACTCCTCTTTTTTTTTCAGGTTGTTTTTTTTCTTTTTTTCTTTTTTTTTCATTTTTTTTTTTCATTGGCCTCAATCAACTTCCCATCAAAAGAACATTTCCATTTACATCTTCTCTTCATTCACACCACAACAACGCACTCATCCCTTCACATAATATAATCCTAAATGCTCAAGTAGGGACAAGGAAAAATATAGATGTAGCTCAATATGTGGCATTCAAATAAAATAGGCAAAAGCTCAAAATGGTTAACTAAGGAATAAAAACATCATTCGGTAAGTTAAAAGGGTCAAAAGGGCTTAAACAAAAATATGCCTTAAATTATTTTCACAAAAAGCACATACCATGTGGTCTCGATATAGATACCAATGCAAGTTCTAGAATTCCAACAACAATGAACGATACACTCAACAACATAATATAAGGCTCAAAAGCTCACCAATGATCATATATCCATGAATTAAAAGCATCAACCAATCATTCAAATTCACAATTCAATCAATTCTCAAATTTCATCACTTAGCACATTATGCCCGAATTATATATCAAATATGCACAAGAACTTATCAAGGTGGATCAAAGGATCTCAACTACAACTACAACTACTCCTAAGAAAGCAATAAACGTGCTAAAGCAATAAAATCTAACATGCAACTACACGATATGCAAAGATAACGTAGGATATCTTGTTATCTTCTCTCTAAAGTTCTCAAATCAAAATATCACATCTCCCCCCAAACTTGAATGAAATTATATGAAGCACAAAAGGGAAAAATAGAATTTCAATAAAAGAAAAGTAGAGAAAACTTACAAAACATTATCGGAGAGGTGACGATTGTTGATATGGATCTCGAAGCATGTCCTTCGTCATGTAAATCTCACCACGTATTGTTCTGCAAGAAAGAAAAACAAAATATCAAACAAACAAAAATAAAACTAACTAAAAAAAAATAAAATAAAAAATAAAGCAGTAAATATTGGGTTGCCTCCCAATAAGCGCTAAGTTTAACGTCTTCAGCCAGACGAGAATGTCTATTAGGGAACTCTAAATAAGGGCTTTGATGATCTTCTCATCCTTTTAAGTTTGACTTTCTCCCAGTAAGGACTCAATCCATAAGAGAGCATCATGGTCCCGTCATAATCATCAAGTTTACCATCACAATATCTCTCAAATTTCAGGATGAAGATTTCAACCTCTTCATCATATGGAATGACAAATTCAATTTTTAAACATTTAGAATTAAAGAATTCTTCTTGAACCACCCCTTCAGTGAGAATAACTTTTGGGGATATTTTAAAGATGACATCCTTCTCTTGTTCATGTTCTTCGGCAACGATAAAAATTTCTGGTGCACTATCTAACGACAAAAAGCATGGAGGAATATAATCGAGCTCTTCTTGCGATATAGGAGGTAAACTAGAGAAAGGACAATTCCCTGGTTTATGTGGCAACATCAAACCACATTCATCACACCCAATGCCACTTTCCTCGAGTTCTCTCCTACGACGCTTCGACTCCAACTCAACCTTTTTAAGTTCTTCCAACTGATAGAACAAACACTCCTCAAACCACTTTTTATCTTCTTCCGAGTATTTGGGATTATTGCGCCAGTCATAGTCTATCGCATCCTCATCCATCATAAAAAAAAATATATATATATTAGCAAAAAACACAAATAATATCTAAATTAAAACCAACACTACCTATCATAATATTGATATAAATAATTATATTAGTCCCCGGCAACGGCGCCAAAAACTTGTTCACCTATATTTTTAAAGCTCGACCGCAAGTGTACGGCTTCGCTCGTAGTATGTGGCAAGCAAGGTTGTATCCCAAGAGACCAAACAACCAATTAATCAAGTACTAGATAATGAAAGTGCCAATTTTATTTAGACGACCGAATATGAGATTGATTAACTAAACTAAGCAAATAAATTAAAAGATAAGAAATCAATAACAAGAAAACAACTAGAAAAACACTTAAGAAGAATTATATGGGAATGGTAGATTCTAAGACTATGGGTTCAATTAACAGTTGGGTTCCTTCAGATATATCACAATTAACTATTTTCTTTATCTACCCTATAAGATGATCACCAAATTAGCCTATCGTCCCTCTCGAGATCGATAAAACCGTAGATTAAATCACATATATTAGCGTCTCCACTCAACACATGCAATTCAACTCCAAATAGATTAAAAGATCTAAATTCCTCACAATTACCTACTAATCTCTCGATTCAAGCAAGTAAATTATGTCAAGTATTAAAGACCTAATATTGAACTCATCTCTCGAATTATGAACAATATTGTCAAACATGTAAAAGAATTGATCAAGTTCTAAACATGGAATAAGAGCAAAATACTTGAATAGGGTTCAAAAGAAAAACAATCAATTATAAATAAATCATCCAAAATCCCAACATATTAATCTACTACCAAGTCTTAGAATAAATAAATCTAGCTACTCATGTTCGAATTCAAACACACAGACATATTAGAAATCGACATGATCAATAAAAGTTCAAGAGGAAAGAAGAAATAAAAATTAGGAATCTCGTCGATCTTTCAATCTCCTTGATCCCTTCGTAGTTGATCCTCCTTTTGCTCCTCAATTGCTTCTCTTGTGTGTTCTAGGGCTCTTCTCCTTGTGTTCTCACGTTCTGCGGCTCAAAATAAGGTAAATATGCCTTTTTATATGTCCAAAAGTCCTCTCCTTATCCAAAAAGACAACAATTAAAAATTAGCATCCGCACACGACACGGCCAGACTGCCCGTGTCACTGGCCGTGTCGCAGACCGTGTCGCATAAACAGCTTCGAATTCATTCAGTCAGGTGACACGGGCATGATGCCCGTGTCACTGCCCGTGTCACACCCCAGCATGTACACTTTTGTCCGTTTTGCTCGTTTCTTCCATTTTTCTCATCCGTGCATCAATCCTTCATCATCTCGGGGGTCCTAGGTACTCAACGTGCGCCTCCAATAGCCACAAGCTCTACAAATATGTGGAAATGTCTACAAAACAAACACGTGTAATACTTTTCCAACAAATAGAGAATTAAAGCACAAATATGCAATTTATACACCAATAATGCAATGACTAATCTCTAAATCCTACATAAATATGGTGTAAAATCACACATGAACACGGCGGCGGTGGCAAGGGAGTCTCGCGCAGGTGACCGTGGTTGCGGCTCCGATCGAGTCCCGGAGGAAGTAGTCGACCCCTCAGCCTGGCCCCCGGTCGAGCCAGAAGTAGCCCCTGTCTTCTTTTTTAGAGGAGTTTTCCTAGGAGGAATATTAAAACTGGGCACCTCTGTAAGGAAACAACGAGAAGATTACATTTGACATTATCGAAAATTATTCAACACGAGAAGCAAAGGAACACATAGCTATTCGAGTAATCTGGTTGAGGATTACCTGGATCATTTTCAATCCGAACGAGATCGAAGATCTCATCGGTTGGAGGAGGACAAGTTTTGTGGGTGAGTAGACCACAATGATGGAGCAGGCTCTCGTCCCTGAGGAGTTCTTTCGACCACAATAAGGCTATTATAGATTTTTTGAAAGTACAAGGCGGTACGAGGTTGGTACGTGGGGGACCAAAATTCTTTTTGTCCCGTACCAACCCGTACATTGAATCTAATGGTTGATATTAATTTTTGAGACAATCTAATAGTGATATAAGAGGTACCTAATGTTAAGTATGTACGAGGGTACATAACCGTCTAGACGATCACAAGTTATTATCTCAAGTGTTGACTATTTTTCTTATACAAAAATCATCAAACAGTTCACCTGCAATGAACTCTCAATGTTGTTGATTATATTTATTATTTTCACTTAACGACAGCATATACATATTGCATATAAGAATGCATTCATCTCCATTGGTACAGTCACTAACAAGATTATACAAGTCATATAAACATGTTAATAAGAAAATTCAAATGACCAAAATATTTTATATTACACGAAAGATAAATATACCTTTGAAGATCTTGAGATTAAGATTCTTTTCAAAGTGGCAGTGAAGGTGAGAAAAAACTTTCAGTGTGTGGAATGAGAAAGTAGCAGAATTTAATTTGACCATTGAAATCTATATTTAATAATAATTTTTTTTTT